AGCTAAAAATTTTTGCTTAAAAAGTAGAAAATAAATTTTCTTTTTGCAAAAACATACTGTGAAAACATAACAAATTTATTTGAATTGTACACTTTTCTACAACATTCTTTTCCATCTAAAGAAAATAGAGAAAAAGAAAAAAGAATCGTTTATTTAGTGATCAATTTCGAAAGAATAACTCAAGTTTTATCGCTGCACTTTTCTGCAAAAAAATTTTTTGCTGCTGCTGCTGCTGCTGTTGTCCAGTAGTAATTTCACGTGAAAAAATCAGAAATTTTTTTCAATTCAAAGCTTTGATGAACCGACTGACAAAGACAGACAGATATTTATCGGATAACTGAAGCGGACCGACTGGCGGACGGACGAACGGAAACTGGAGACATGAACAACAGGAAAAACAACAAGTGATGGATGTGGGAAAAAAAACCAACAATAAAAAGATAAAACAAAAAACAAAAAAAATAAATAAATAAACTGCAAATGATCGGTGACAGCAAAAAAGAAGGAGAAGGGGAAGGAGAAGAAGAAGAAGAAGAAGAAGAAGAAGAAGAAGAGGGAGAAGAGGAAGAAGAAGGAAAAGGAGAAAAAGACAACAATATAGGTAAGTAATCAATGAAGTAAAAGGCTTTTGCAAAAAAAATAGGTAGTGACAAGAATTCAAAAAGTCTCTCTAAACCTATTTGTAATTAATAAGGTTTTAGGAACTATTAAGACTTACTTAAATGGTATAGATGTATTTTCAATGGCTAATCAAGAAATCAGACAAAAAGCAGAGGCTAACAATAATATTTTTGTTGACAACAATGGGAAATCAGCATCCGAGATTTATCTGCCAGACAGTTTTCCGTATCCGTCGATGCAACTGATACGTCAAACACATACAGATAAATAGCAGTTTGAATGTGTTTTTCTGTTTGCTTCTCCATTTCTTTCTAAGAGACTATGAAAATGTAACACACACACAAAAAAAGAAAATGGATCACTATCACCGTTGTTTTTTGTTTTTATTTTCTATTTTTATTTCTTCTTCTCTACTTTTTTTCCTTTTTTTTTTTTTTTTTTTTTTTTTTTTT